TTAATTTCTACTCAAAGGTAGAGAATTCGTTTTAAGTAATTCAAAACTAAACAACAATTACATTCTTGACTGCTTATGACGAGAATCAAATTAATTCAAATAACAAACGTATAGTTAACTCTTAATCTATGATAAATTTAGGCGACGTACGCTTTTGGAATGAGCAAAATGTCAGCTATCTCTTCGAAAACACAAGGTTCTGATGACTAAAGCCAGAACTATCGAGTATTCTTCGAAATTTACTTTAAAGTTACGACATGTGTGAGAAGATATTGTAATACATACACCCGAAGCCTATAATAGCTCATAAGAACAAAAGCCAGGAGCATTTTGCCACTTTATAATACTGACTGAATCAAGCTAGAGAGCTGAAATTGAAAAATTGTCATACACAGTGACATAATTCAGATGCGTCGCACAGGAAAAGTTTGCCATTTTCGCTCTAATCCCAGCTTTTTTCCATCATTTTGGAATTAGATTATTCCAAATATTTTTAAATTGAGGTGTAGATGATGTAATGCAGCACCATAAATCTAAAAACTAGCTATTGCATGATTTTGCCTTTTACAAGATTTAATAACAGTTTTGAGGAGTATTTCTTCCTGTCAGTGTGTGGGTCCAGTTCACACCCACGCTGACAGCAAAGATCGCGTTCTCTAAAGAAACCCATACTAAACCTAAATCGATACTGCTATTGCAAAAAACAAAAGTGAGCTTGGTAGAGTATGCATGACAAGAATTTTGAACTTTACGGCATAGAAGATGTCTCAAAACTCTACCACTCGAACGTTTTCTTTCCCTTTTTTTCTTCCTACACTTTTTTAATTGCTTCGCAAACTAGAAGTGAATACTACAACAGTGAGACTGCTTAAAAAATTAAGTACAATTTGTTCCAGCAACAATATTTTTCATTCAAACCAGGCGTCATAGATTCGGGACAATCCATCTACACTATGCACATCAACTCGTAAAACAAGAGATGCACATTGGAACAGAACGGTCATGCAAAAGTCACTGGTTCCAGTTACAACTTAGCGCAGGCAATCAATGAGACAAATAGAGACGGGAATGCATTTCGACCGTTTGATAACTTAGAACCCAATATAAAAAATCTTTTTCAACAACTACACTCTGGAGTGAAAGGAAAACATCGAAAACCCTACTGACTGTCGGTTTTTAACAAAGGCAGCTCTCAATGGCCGATATATTTCCGATGTACAGACAGCTGAGCAAACGTGTGACTAACGTGAAGTTACGGTGAAAAAGACATACCAACGGAAAATGTGGACACAAAAGGCTACAGAAAAAGTGCATAGGCGATGTAGTCAAAAAGGAAATTGAGTGCTTTGCATGACTTCTTCAACTGATTCAAATCTGGGCAAACAGCTGTATCATACTATATTCAGCATGAAGGAACACAGAAGGACCAAAGTAAACATTTTTTTTTGGAAAAAAATAGCTGTGC